GGGACTTGTTTATGGGGGCGCCACATGTTTGACAGTTTAGATGTGACCGGGCGTGAAAAGGAAGACAGGCCCGGTCTTCGGTGGCGTCCCCTCTGAGGTCGTCCCGTTGTCCGTCCGGCCGCTCCGTTCTGTGTCTGACCGGGACGCCGTTTGCCTGCAGGCGGAATGGCGCCGTCACCCACATCAAGATCCAGAACACGGGGGACTACTACGACCTGTACGGCGGGGAGAAGTTCGCCACGCTGGCGGAGCTGGTGCAGTATTACATGGAGCATCACGGGCAGCTGAAGGAGAAGAACGGAGACGTCATCGAGCTCAAGTACCCACTCAACTGCGCTGACCCCACGTCGGAGAGGTGAGAGCTCAGCCTCCTCTGTCACATCTTAGCCTCTGTCGCTTCAGTCATTATGAGCTTTATTTTTCCCTTAAAAGGAACCATTATAGTCCCGTCCTCCATTCAAATTGTCCACTCTTTATTGAGCATGAGCTATGTTTTTGTTTTATCTCTTCATCAACATTTTATCCAGGATCTGAAGACTGAAAACAAGCCGGCACAGGCCGTCTCTTCTTGGGCTGCAACTAATGTTTTTGGTCGCAGTTTTTCAGGAAACTTCTATAAAAGGCCTCTTTTAGAGTTTTTGAAAGCAAAAACGTATTTTTGGAGTGGTTTAACAATAGATCATAGAGCTGACCTGAGTCAGCATTAATGGCGCCTAGGTGTCTTAATCTGAGTCAAGTTTTCGGTTTTATTTTGGGGCGTTTACAAAGTGTTGGGCTGGAGCCTGATGGGCCTGAGTCCCTCCGCTTCTGATGTGTCTGCGGGCTTCGTTTTCCAGGTGGTTCCACGGACACTTGTCGGGCCGGGAGGCCGAGAAGCTGCTGACGGAGAAGGGCAAGAACGGCAGCTTCCTGGTGCGGGAGAGCCAGAGCCACCCGGGGGACTTTGTCCTCTCGGTTCGCACCGGCGACGACAAGACGGACAGCAGCGACAGCAAACCCAAAGTCACTCACGTCATGATCCGCTGCCAGGTGAACACGCCGCCAAGCGCCTTCCCCCGAACCGGCCCTGTCCTCAGCTCCTGCATGTCCAGGTTACAGAACCCAATGAAGGAGTTTATCTCAGGCGAACGATCCGAGATAAAATCAGATCGCTTTTTTTGGTGCCTTTTTATTTGCGCAATCCCCTTTTACGACCTGGAGCGCAGACGGGACGGAAACTGAAAGCCTGCACATGCTGTGCCCACAGCCAGCCGAGTCCTAGAGCGGTGTAGAACTTTCTGCTCAGGTCAGAGGGCGTCTTAGCTGAAGGGAAATCTAAATTTAATAGATAGTTTTGAATGATTTCACTTCAAATAAGGACTTTTAATTATTGTAAATAAATAGTTAGTTCAGTAAGTTCCAGCTGCACGAACAAACAGCTGCCGTTATCAGTGTGTTATATAGGTTTTATACACTATGTAACTCCTACTTAAGCACCGACACACCAAGTTTGTCAGAGTTCATTTTGGATCATCCAAATAAGTCACGTAAATTAAAGAGAATATTTACTCTTAGTGGTTTGTGGATCCAGAATTCTGTGTTCAGACGTCTGCGGTCTGAACTGAGAGAGAATGGACGTGTTGTGTTTACTACTGAAGTGTTTCTTCTTTCCAGCATGACCTGAAGTACGACGTGGGAGGAGGGGAGAAGTTCGACTCCCTCACAGACTTGGTAGAGCATTACAAGAAGAACCCTATGGTGGAAACCCTGGGCACCGTGCTTCAGCTCAAACAGGTTGGTCCCTCTTGGGTTTTGTCCGGGTTGTACAAAGCCGTCCTGAGAGTGCGTCCATCTGTAAGCTGACGTGACCTCTGACCTCTGCGCAGCCCCTCAACACTACCCGCATCAACGCCGCAGAGATTGAGAGTCGAGTCCGTGAGCTGAGCAAACTCGCAGAGGCCACAGACAAAGTCAAACAAGGTTT